CTAGAATTGATTCTCCATGGGAGTCATTGGAATCGAGATGTCATTGGCATGAAGTCATTGGTTGCTGATGAGATGGGGGGTGGGGGGGAACCTAGACACACCTGCACTGAATGAATGTGACCATCTCAGGAAAACCCAGAGAGGAGAGATACTCGAGAGCAGGGAGGGGGCTGTGGTGTCCAAGGCTACAGAGACTGGGAGCGAGGCATTTGGGATGGTGCCAAGGGTTTGTGGGATGAGAAAGAGCATGGAAGTGAGGCTAGGCTCCTCCTTTCTTGGGGGCTCCTCTTCCCACATTCCCTTGGCCAGCCAAGCTCTTGCCTTGTGGACATAAGTAGCTCCTACCAATGTGGGGGAGGTTGCTAGCCTGACCCTGTGGGAGAGAGAGGAGGAGTGGTGTTCTCTGCCAAGGCCGAGAGCCTGGATTGGGCTTGCTAGGGAAACCAGCTTGGCAAGGGCCCTGAGCACCTCTTTGTCCCATTGGATCCCAACTTTCTCCTCCTGATGGTGGAAAGAAACTCTGGCCACCTTCTATCATTTCCTCCAGAGCCCTGTCAGCATCAGCAGCTTTGGGAAGGAAGTGAGGGGAAGCAGCCCTATTTCGTAGCTGAAGAAACAGAGACAGGAACAGCCAGGACTGGGACCCAGGACCTTTTGCAGTCATTCCAGTGTGAGGCCTCTGGCTCTGAGTAAGGGTGGGGGGCAGGGCACAGGGCTGGAGGGCTGAGCCTACCTACCCTCTTGCTTGAGGAGACAGGAGGGCTAGGCACTGGAAGTCTTCCTGAGTGGCCCAGGGTTGTTTCCATAGAGATGAAGAAACAGAGCTAGGGTCTGGGCCATTAGGAGAATCCCGGTCCTGACCCTGAGCCCAGTTGGGGCGTCCCTTCCCTCCTCAGGTCTGAGAGACAAGATGACAGATTTCAGTAGAAGCCTTAAGGTTTAGGGTAGGAGGACCAGTCTTAGCCCTTCTGCTCCTGGTCCCCTTTGGAAGTAGCTTGGCATAAAGAACGAGGGGCTGTTTCCATCAAAATGTGTTCTTTGATTTGCTCCCCCACCTCTGCACAGCCTCGGAATGAGAGAAGCAGAGAAAGGGTCTTGACTAGGTCCTAGTCATTTGGACTAAGGGCTTTAGAGGAAGAGGGCTTGACAAGGGGCAGTTCTGTTCCTTTCCTGCTGCACCCCCAGTGGGGTGGGTACCCAGGCTTCTGACAACTTGCTGGAACATCTAAGCCCGTGGCAGGTTTCCATTGGCAAATGGCTTACCACTCCCTCACTTACACTACACAAAAATAGTGGAGGGTGGGAGCCGTTCTTCTTTCTCTGACCACCATGTCAGGCTGCTGCTGCCTCCCTAAGGTTGTGCTCCCTTGGCAGAGCTGTGCCTAGATGGTGGGCACAGCCTCAGTGCCCCCCCCCAAGCCCAGGTCCTTTCTCAGAAGTTGGGCACCTTCTAGGCTCAACCCTCTGACCTTTCTCCCCCAGCTAACTTTGACTCCTTGGAAGCCTGCCTTTTCCTAGGCTGGACTTGTTCAAGGGGCTGGCCTGAAGGATGTGGTGCTCACTTGGTGGAGGCCTCAAACTCCTCTCTTCCCCCCACCCCTCTTTCCCATTTCACTGCCCCGGGACAGTGGCGGTTCTGAATGGACCTAGAAAGAAGGGAGGGCGGTGATATCTCTTCCCACAGCACAGCTGGTAACTGAACAGTAAAATTCTGGGATTGGGTTGGATGGCAAGAACCTGCCCTGGTCCTGGTGTGCTGTGAGACCTGGAACCTGGGCCCCTCTTGGGGCCTGTTTCCTCACTTTGGCTTCGCCCTCCTGAACCTCTGACTTTGTACCACCTTTCTGCAGCGGACCAAGTGTATGGTGACCAGGACATGCATGAGGTTGTCCGGAAACATTGCATGGATTATCTGGTGAGATTGGGGCCTGCTTGGGCTTGCTGGGGACCTGCTCCTCCCCTCTTTGTCCCCTGCTGAGTCTGTGCTCCCTTCTCCCCCAGATGAAGAATGCTGACTACTTCTCCAATTATGTCACTGAAGACTTCACCACCTACATCAACCGGAAGAGGAAGAACAATTGTCACGGGAACCACATTGAGATGCAGGCCATGGCGGAGATGTACAACCGGCCTGTCGAGGTGTACCAGTACAGTACAGGTAGGGCCAGTGAGGGCCATGGGGGGGGGTGGCAGGGGGAGCCGGCCTGGGCCCTGCCCCACCCCATCCGTCACAGCACAAGTATCCCCGTCCCCCCAGAGCCCATCAACACGTTTCATGGCATTCAGCAGAATGAGGACGAGCCCATCCGGGTCAGCTATCATCGCAACGTCCACTACAACTCAGTGGTGAACCCCAACAAGGCCACCATTGGTGTGGGGCTGGGGCTCCCCTCCTTCAAGCCAGGGGTGAGTGAGCAGCTCTTAAGCTGGACCCAGCTGCTCTTCTGTCTACTGTCTGCCCTCCTCCCCTTTCCTATTCAGGCCTGTCTTTTTACACAGGAGTGTGCACACACCCACGTAGACACATGTACATGCACATAAACTCAGAACCAAAAGGGCCTCTGGAAGCCATCTTTTCTCTGTGTGTCCACAATAGTGGTCTCTGGACTCTCCCCTGTACCTCCCTCAGTTCATTCCATGTTTTGTTGAAGGGGGGAGTTGTTCCTATGGCCTCCCTCCTTTTGGCCCTGCTGACCTTTGGGAGGAGGTAGATCCCTGGGGGATGAGTTGGGAAGGCTGGGGGGGTGGGGGTGGGAAAGGGGGGGGCGGGGCGGCGGGGAGAGGACCCTTAAAATGTCTTATTTTCCCAGTCTGCCTCAGAGTCTTGATCACCACAAGGGAAGGAGGCAGTATGTGGGCAGAGAGAGAGCTGGGACCCCAGTCCCTGGCCTGTGTTCAAGGGGGCCTCGTTGAGTTGCTACTTTCTGCTGCCTGTCTCCCCTCCTGTCTTCCTTTGCAGCCTGGGACCACCCTAGTTAGCAGCAGGCTAAGCTGAGGCCCTACCTGAAAGGGTTGGGGGGAGGTGGACCTTAATGGCCAAGGGCCTTGGTGTTGTTGGGTTGCCCTTCCCTTTGGGATGTCATGACCCCACTGTTCTTCCCAGGCCCCGTTCATGCACCCCACCCCCACCCCCACCCCCCCTACTGAGAAGCTGAATCTTCTGGCCAGAGGCTCCTCCTCCCCTCCCCCCCCCGGGTGGGCAGCCTTATTTCTGCCCTGACCTCGCCTTTTAAATGTCACTTCCTTCTGTCTCCCCCTAGTTTGCTGACCAGTCTCTGATGAAGAATGCCATTAAAACATCAGAGGAGTCGTGGATTGAGCAGCAGATGCTAGAGGATAAGAAGCGGGCCACGGACTGGGAAGCCACCAACGAGGCTATTGAGGAGCAGGTAGCCAGAGAGTCTTACCTGCAGTGGCTTCGGGACCAGGAGAAGCAAGCCCGGCAGGTCAGGGGCCAAGCACAGGTAGGTGGTCTTGCCCACTGAGGCCAGGGCCGGGGGAACAGAGGCTTTGGGTGCCAGGCTTGGCCTGCTTCTCGGTGAGATTTAATCCCACGGGCATCCACTACCCTTTCTCCCAGCCCCGGAAAGCCAGCGCCACTTGCAGCTCGGCCACAGCAGCGGCCTCTAGTGGTCTGGAGGAGTGGAGTGGCAGGTCCCCCAGACAGCGGAGCACCGCCCCCTCCCCTGAGCAGCAGGACCTTCACCCAGAGCTGGGCCCCAAGCCACCCTCACCAGGCCATGCCCTCACTCTCGCCAAACCCCCCTCACCCTGTGCACCAGGTCAGTGTTTCCTGGTGACCTGGCAGGGTCTTTGGGGGGGAGGGGGGTGGCTCTTTGTCTTTCTGGGTGGGGCCTTCTGACACCCATCCGTCTATCTTAGGTCCAAGCAGCCAGTTGGTGACGGGAGGAGACCGAGCAACGTCCCCCCTTGTGTCCCTGTACCCTGCTCTGGAATGCCGGGCCCTCATCCAGCAGATGTCACCTAGCGCCTTTGGTAAGGCCCTTTAGGGCCCAGCATCTCCTTTCCCCCATCAGGCTGCTGGGTCCCCTCCTGCCAGGCCTCATTTCCATTCTTCTCCCCTTGCCCGCCAGGTCTGAACGACTGGGACGATGATGAAATCCTGGCTTCCGTCCTTGCCGTCTCCCAACAGGAATATTTGGACAGTATGAAGAAAAACACAGTACACAGAGACCCCCCACCAGACAAGAGTTGATAACCAGGGACTGGAGCCCCCTGCCTGCCCTCTCCCCTTCCTTCTGCCTTCCACCGCTCTTCCCTCCCCTGGCCTGGCCAGTCCTTGGGGGATTCTCGCACTCTGGTCCAGCCTTGACCACCCTTTGGATCACATGCCTCTCTCCACCACCCCCTCTACCCTTGCCCCCAGCTCCCTCAAATCATGCCCACCTTCTTCCTTGAGCTCCTCTGCACCTAAACTCCAACATGGATTCAGTAGCGGAATGAATGTGGGCAGGCCCTGAGAAACACCAGAGAGCCACAGTGGCCCCTTAGACACCATTGTCCCCACAGCCTTTTGGATACGCCTATCAATGGAGGGAAATTGTGCCCACCATCTCTGCTGCCCCCTCTTGGGGGGGTGATGGTGGGGTGGGGGAATCCATAGAACACCGCCCCCCCAGCCTGGAAGACGTCTGAGTCATCAGCGTTTGGGTGTCTTTACCCCTTCTCCCTTTATTAAAATGTAATTTTATCTTCTAAAAAAATTCAGATCCTGGCCCAGCTGCGTCCTGGGGGCTGGGGCCCTGGGCTGGACCGGACGGGTAGCTCCTGTCTTTTCTCTTTCTCCTCTTCCTCCTCTTCCCCTCCCCCCCTCTACCTCTCCCCATTTCCCTGTCTCTCCATCTCTCCGTCTCCCTCCCCTCTCTCTTTTTCTCTCTCTCTCTCTCTCTCCCCCATCTCCCTCTCTCCTCTCTCCCTCCCTCTCTCCATCTCTCTCCCCCCCCCCCCTCTCTCCCCCCTTCCCATCTCTCCATCTCTCTCTGTCTCCATCTCCCTCCCTCTCCCCCTCTCTGTCTCTCTCTCCCTTGCTTGCTCTCCCTCTCCCCCTCTCTCCTTTTAAGGGGTGGGAAGGAGTGGTAGGGCGGGAAGCAGGTGCCTTGAGACTGGGTACCCACCACCCCAAACCACAGATTTTGGACAATAAAACTGACCTGTGTCCAAAGTGACTACCCTGGGTGCTTTCCCCCCCCCCCCATTTCTCTCACTGTCTCAGAGCCTGGGTATAGAATTGTTTAGCTGCTTCCCTGGACTTCGGAGAGGAGAGAAGGGCATTTGTAGCCCCCACCCCAAGCTGGCAAGCCAGGGCACAGCACCCCTCCTCCCCCCACCTTGGCAGAATAACCCTGCTGGCGCGGCGCTGGGCTGAGCTGTGCTGGGGGGGCCCCTCTCTGCGCTCGGCCTTTGTCTCTTGTGGGGGGGCGAGGGCAGGCCCAGTTTCTCAAGGGCCTAGCTCTCCCCAGACCCTGGGTCGGGCTGAGGTTGCCAGGAGATTCTATTTCCTCCTCCTCTTGGCGCCCCCCACCCAAGAGTCTCGTTTCCTGGGAGACTTGTGGGGGGAAGGGGACAGCGGAGGCCATGGAGGCTGGGCTACCCTAGCGTTTGAGAGTGGGAGCTAGGCCGATCCCAGAGGGATCGCCTGCCGGGCTCTCCGAGTTTGGGGTCTCCAGACCCGCCACAAAACCTATTTCTGCTTTAATTAAACCTCTCAAGTCACGATTCGAGAAAAATCCTTCCTTGGCCCCCCTCCCCTCATTTGCATTCAGGCCCCGACTCGGAATGAGAGGAGGCCTGGGGCGGGGCTGCCATGCAAATGTCTGGTTGCCGATTGGCCCGGCCGGGGAGGGCGGGGCGTTCGGGGCTGACCTCTCCGCTGGCTCGGCCGCCCGGTGACCAGTAGAGTGCGAGCCTCCGTCCCGGGCGGAGCCGGGCAATTCGCTTCAGCGGCCAGCCCCCCAGGCCAGCCGGGCCATGCTGACCAAGGGCCCCGAGGCGCTGCCTCAGCTCCCGTCCCCGGAGCCCCCGGGCCGGCCAGGCAAGGGCCAGGAGGCCCTGGAGGCTACCTACCGCCTGGGGCCCCTGCTGGGCAAGGGCGGTTTCGGCTCCGTCTTCTCTGCGCACCGCCTGGCCGACCGCCTGCAGGTGACTGCACCCCACCTGCCGCCTTCCCTCGGATCCCCCCCAACCCGCCCCTCTCCTCGGGTCTCCCCCCTCCCAAACCTCTCCTGTTATGACCCTCGCTCGCCCCTCCCCTCGGGTCCCCTCCTCGGATCGGCGCCGCCCGCCCTTCCTCTCGGGTTCCCGCTAGGATCGCCCCCTTCCATCTCTTCTATTCTCCTCCGCCCCTCCCCTTGGCTACCCTCCCCCCTCCACCGCCCCATCTCCCCAGTCCATCCCTCTCCACGAATGTCCCCCGCCCACTCTTCTCTTCCAGTCTCCCCTTCGATCTCCCCCGCCCATCCCTCTCCTCGGATCTCCCCCGCTCGCCCCTCCCCTCGGATCTACTCCCTCCCTTGCTTCTCCATCATCTCCCTGGGCTCCTCGTCTTTTCTCTCAGGTTGCTGTGAAGCTGATCCCCCGGAGCCGCGTCCTGGGCTGGGCCCCCCTGGTGTGTATGCTCCCCATCTCCTTCCCCCGTGGGTGACTCATCTCCTCTTTTAAGGGGCTGTCTGCCCCTTTGCCCAAGGATGGGCTAGGTCTGCATCCCCGAAGGGGAGAAGTCTGTAACCCATCTGTGGGAGTTCATAGTTGACCAGGTTGGGTGAGTGTCCTAGGCACCATCACTCACCTCCATATTGGGGCATGTTCTCTCTGGGACCTGCTCTGGGCACAGGACACTCCCCCTCAGCTGTAGGACACATTCTTGTGCATGTGGGGAAGGGGTGCTTGTGTTGAAGACATTCCCTTGTAGGAAGACCCTCCCCCCTCCCTTTATCTGGGTGAGACATGGGAATTTTGTGTGTCCTTGGGCTTCTCTTGTGCTGCTGGGTGGGAATGTTAATTGGTGATAATGAGATCGAGGACCCTTAGACTTGGAGAGTACTGAGTGGCTCATGGTCCCACAGGTAGAAAGTGGCAGAGCTGAAATTTCAACCTTGTCTCCTTGTCTTTTTTTTTTTTTTTGGTGAGGCAATCGGGGTTAAGTGACTTGCCCAGGGTCACACAGCTAGTGAGTGTCTAGAGTCTGAGGCTGGATTCAACTCAGTCTTTTTGAGGCTAAGTTCAGGGCTTTTCCTACTGCTGTCCCCAGCTGACTCTTGAGCAAGAGACAGGTTTGCACCCCCTTATATATGCACATAGAGGAGGGAGGTTTTCCCTCTCCAAGTGGGGAGGCTCCTCTGTGATGCAGCTCTTCCCTGTACTTTCTGCCTTCCTGCAGTCTGACTCAGGCCCATGCCCACTGGAGGTGGCCCTGCTGAGGAAGGTCGGGGCTGGGGGTGGTCATCGGGGTGTGATCCGACTACTGGATTGGTTTGAGACCCCTGAGAGCTTCCTGCTGGTGCTTGAGCGACCAGAGCATGGCCAGGATTTGTTTGATTATATCACTGAGCGGGGACCCCTGGGAGACAGCCGCTGCCGCCGCTTCTTCAGCCAGGTGGTAGCTGCTGTGCGCCACTGCCATGCCCGAGGCGTAGTCCACCGAGACATCAAGGATGAGAACATCCTAGTGGACTTGAGGCGGGGTGAAGTGAAGCTCATTGATTTTGGCTCTGGCGCCCTGCTCCGGGATGAGCCCTACACTGACTTTGATGGTGAGAGCCCAGGCCAATGGTGTTTGGGGATTGCTGGAGTGGATGAACTCAGGACAGGGCAGTCTAGTGCCTGGTGAGTCTCAAACATGGGTCCCTGGGCCTTCTGGCTTTGTAGGAACAAGGGTGTATAGCCCACCAGAATGGATCTCGCAGCAGCAGTACCATGCGCTACCCGCCACTGTGTGGTCCCTAGGCATCCTCCTTTATGACATGGCCTGTGGAGACATCCCCTTTGAGCATGACCGGGAGATCCTAGGTGCTCGACTGCGCTTCCACTGCCATGTCTCCCCAGGTAAGGTACAGTTCCTGGGATTACTCCCATGCCCCCTCCCTCCCCTGCCCTTTCCTTCCCCTCTGGGCCACAGACTTGCTGCCTAATTCTCCAGGTTGTGAGGCCCTGATCCGACGTTGCCTGGCCCCTGACCCTGCCAACCGACCCTCACTGGAGCAGATTCTTCGAGACCCTTGGATGCAGGACGGGGAGGAGCACTTAGCACTTACTTCGGAAATCCTGCCTCCTCTCTCTGGTGAATCCACTGTCTCCTGTGATGCCAGTACCCCAGAGTGGCCAGCTTTCTAATAGTGGTGGAGGAGGAACAGAAGCATGTATACTTGTGGTCCCCCAAATGGGACCAGTCTCTTGAGGCTGCACTGTTGACCTGGTTTTACAGGTTGTTTAGAGATGCTTCTCTGGACCTCACCCAAGGGACCTACTAGCCCATTCCCCATTCTCCTAATTGGGCTTTCAAGGATGGATGGGGACTTTTTCAGACACTAGACCCCCCTCCCCCATTCCCCCTTTCCTTTATAGGTTGTTTAGAGATCCCGAGGTTGGGGTGGAAAAGAAGGCTGGGAGCTTAAGGCTTTCTTCCTCCTGGCTTCTTCAAACCCGGACATTTCCTTGAAGCAGCTGCCCCTGCCCCTGCCCCTGCCCCTGCCCAGCCAGAGGGCCTGTGTCGATGATTGTCTAGTGAGGCTGACTTCTTCACCTTCCCCCTATGAAGGCGGCTGCTGCCTCCCGAGGCTGTGCCAATACTTTGGACAATTGGCCACGGTTGAACCAGAGGACGCCGGGAGGGGGAAGGGAGGGCGGTCGGTGGCCAGCAGGCTCTCAGCCCCTCGAACCTGTGCATAACATTAAAACGAGCCCTAGGAGGCCCTTGCAACCCCAGGCCTGGACTAGGCTGTGGCATCGATCTCTCCTAGAGGGGGGCCTCCGGGACTGGCAGCGGGGCCTGCCCGCTGAGGTTTTCGGGGCGCCGGGCGTGCTTCCGACCCAGCCAACCTGTTGCCCTGGCTCCCCGAAGGCTGGAGCCGGGACGGGGCGAGGGAGTCGAGGGGGAGGGCTCCTGGGTGGTAGCCAGCCAATGAGGACGCGGGGAGCCCGAGGGGGGGGAGGCGGGGGGCGGGGCTGGCGGCGGCGCATGGGGCGGGTCCCCGAGCGGACGCGGCCAATGAGGCTCTTTGGTCCTCGGAAGCGGAAATGACGAAGCCTGCGGAAGGAAACGGCGGCCCGGGCCGTTGCCGAGGGGACGGACCCGGGCAGGTGCCAACATGGCAGCGGCGGGCGCAGGCGGAGGGGACGCGGCGGCAGGGGCAGCGGCTGGAGCCGTCGGGCCGCCGGGGGGGCACCACCAGCCTGGGCTACCCAGCGCAAGTAAGGGAGGGGGGGGAGCGGCGCGTCCGCGAGTGTGTGCGGGGCGCGTGCCCGCCACTGTGGTCATGGGTGTGTCTGGAGGGGGGAACCCGGCCAGCCGGCCGCACGCGTGTCCGGCTGCGGGGGCCTCTTCCTCGGGTTCGGAGCGCCCCAAGTCGGCCGGCCCCTTCTCCTTTGGCACCCATGGGTGTCCAGGGCGGCCTTCTGACGAGAGAATGGGGGCGCACCAGCCCAGCGAGGAGGGCGAGGGGAGGCTCTGATGCGGGCTCCCCCGCAGGTCACCACCGGTGGTTGAAACAGGCATCGCTGGCAGTGCTGGTGGTACAGAACGCGTCACTGATCCTGAGCATCCGCTACGCTCGGACCCTGCCCGGGGACCGCTTCTTTGCCACCACTGCCGTGGTCATGGCCGAGGTGCTGAAGGGAGCTGCCTGTCTCCTGCTGCTATTCGCACAGAAGAGGGGTACGGAGCTGGAGAAATCGATCACACGGGGGGGGCCGAGGGGGGGGGCGGCGAGGGGACCCGGGACCCAGAGCTCTAATGGGTTTAGGAGGCAACCTTTCTTCTCGTCCTCCCGGCGCAGGGAACGTGAAACATTTTGTGCTCTTCCTTCATGAAGCTGTCCTGGTCCAGTATGTGGACACATTGAAGCTGGCAGTGCCCTCCCTCATCTATACCCTCCAAAACAATCTGCAGTATGTGGCCATCTCCAATCTGCCAGCTGCCACCTTCCAGGTCAGTTAAGGGGTGGAGGGAGAAAGGGAGCAGGGAAAGGAAGAAGAAAAGGAGGAAGCTGGGCCAGGTGTGGCTAGGCTAGGTTAGGCTAGGCTAGGCCAGGCCAAGCTAGGCTAGGCTAGGCTAGGCATGGGGGAAAGAGATAGGGTGGACCTACTTTTTCCTCCATGGGGGATCCTTGTCCCTCAGACCCCTGCCTTCTACCTCCACTTCCACAGGTCACATACCAGCTGAAAATCCTTACCACAGCCCTGTTCTCAGTCCTCATGCTCCGCCGGAGCCTGTCCCGCCTGCAGTGGGCCTCCTTGCTCCTGCTCTTCCTGGGTGTGGCCCTCGTCCAGGTCCAGCAGGCAGGTGGTAGCAATGGGTCACCACGCCCAGGGGGCCAGAACCCTGGCGTGGGGCTGGCAGCTGTGGTGGCTTCATGCCTGTCATCAGGCTTTGCTGGCGTTTACTTTGAGAAGATCTTGAAGGGTAGTTCAGGGTCGGTGTGGCTGAGGAACGTACAGCTGGGCCTCTTTGGGACTTTGCTGGGCCTGGCAGGGCTGTGGTGGGCAGAGGGTGGGGCCGTAGCCAGTCGAGGCTTCTTTTTCGGCTACACGCCAGCTGTGTGGGGGGTGGTGCTGAACCAGGCCTTCGGTGGCCTGCTCGTGGCCGTAGTGGTCAAATACGCGGACAACATCCTCAAAGGCTTCGCCACCTCCCTCTCCATTGTCGTTTCCACAGCAGCCTCCGTCCGCCTGTTTGGCTTCCAGGTGGATCCACTCTTTGCACTTGGGGCTGGCCTGGTCATCGGGGCCGTCTACCTCTACAGCCTGCCCCGAACTGCTGCCGTGGTCACTCCTCCCCCTCTGAACACAGCACCGCTGGCCAGTGGCCGCCATGCGGACCCTGAGGAGGAGCCCTTCCTGCCCAAGTCAGTACTGGGGAAGTGACATCTGGGAGCAGAGCTGGAGTTTGGGGAAACACCAGGGAGTCCAGATCTCCCAGCCCCTTCCCTTCAGTTCTCCGCTGCCCTGCCCCCCCCCACACACACACAGCGTGTGCCTATCTCCCTCCCTGCCTCCCTTGCCCTAAGGTCTCGTGGGGCACTCTGACTCAGCATAGAGGCTGTTTTTAAAAGATGTTTAAAAGATAGTTGGGGTAAAGTCACGCTGCTCACTTTTCGTCCCTTTCCTGTTATTTTGACACGTCTCACTCATTTTTCCAGATCACGGGCCCCTCCCTAGGGGCCTTACCCAGTTTTCTAAGGTCAGTTTCCCATTTCCATTTTTCAGCATTCGATGCCCTCGCTTTGACCCACTTCCGTCAGGGTCTGTACCATGCGAGAGGGGCATCAGGACATGCTTTCCAGCACACATTTTCTCTTATTCAATATCTTTATCTCCTGCAATTCCATGGAACTGCTTCTACCCTTCTTTTCCCATCATAGAAAGCCTTTCTCCTGTATCTCTATGCCAGTCTCATCTCAGGCTCCAGCCAGCCCTGGCAAGTCAGGGAAACAGCTCCCCCTTTCCCTTTTCCCAGCATTTGATGCCTCACAGCAAAGGAAGAATGGTTTAAGCCTTCCACCTCCTTCCATCCAGGGCCAGCTTCTAGGGAGGGGCAGGAATTGGATCTGTCTGGCTCCCCACCGCCCCTCTAATCCTCAAAGGGGAACGGATCCAGGAGGAGCGTCCCACTGGCTACCCTATGGTGTTGGGGATGGGTGGTGGAATAAGACTGAGCAGGGGGATTGGGCCAGATGGGCAGTGAGCATTGGATTACGGGGAGACATTCAGTCAGAACATAAACTGGAGAAGTCAGGGTGAGGGGGAGTCTGAAAGACAAGAAAAGGAAAAGAATCAAGTCTGAATCTGAGACCAAAGAAGATTATTGGTTTGGGAAGGGGGCGGGTAGAATGAGATGAAGCTTCAGATTGTATGAAGACATACAATCCTGGCTCAGAAAGAGATCTCATTCCCCACCCCCCTCTCCCACTTTGATTAACCCTTTAACCTACCCTTTCCCCAAAGGCTCCTACTACACAGAGGACTTGAGAGTTGCTGCTGTGGCCAGGCTTTTTGGGGAGTGCAGTTAGGGGGGGAGGGTGGTGGTGGTGATGATGGTTATCAGCCCTAATTTTTGTAAGACAGGAAAATGACCAATTTCTTCATTGGCCGGGGTCAAGTGTACAAATGCCAAAATAAAGAAATTCTATTTATGTAGTTGATGTGCAACTTACTAAATAGGGGGAGATGGGACCTTGCTGTATTTAACCCAATTAACACTGGGGTTTATCTACAGAAAAGGCAGTGGGACCTCTTTTAATTTCCCCGACCCTCCAACCCAAGGAGGTTCATGGCAACGTCTGAAAGAAAGCCACCTGGGCTCTCTCTCTCTTTCCCCTGCAGGCTGCTGGCCAAGGAGAAGGGGTCGTAGCCACCCCCTTGTCTGATTGGGGGACCGAAGATTCCCAGCACCTCCCATGTCTGCTCTGAGGATCCCCTGGTCCTGTGGCTTCCCTGTGGAACTGGAGGCAGCTTCTTCAGTATTAAGGCGTTAAACATTCTCTTCCCTCCCCCCACCCCTCTGCTTTGCCAAGTTTGGGCTGATGGGGATTCAGGGTCTTCTCCTCTAACTCCCCAGGGTTAACACTACTGACCTCTGATCCTCCCCTGTTCATTGGCTGAGACTTATACAAAGTATTGATTGAGCCAAGTTCTGTAGGGAATATTTCCTCTGAAAATAAATTTGTAACAGCTTCTTCCTCTGTGCCCCCCCTCCCCCAAGGAGTTCCAATGACAAAACTTGAAAGGAAAACACTTTATTATGAACACAAAGGTTGGAGAGGGTGGGCTCAGTCTCAGTCTTGCTGTTTGGCCCGGGAGGCCTCAGCATTGGCTCGAAGCACTGCCCCTGGGGAGGGGTATGGCCGTTGCTGGAATAGAGGCCCAGCTGCTGTTGTGTCGGCCCCTGTCTTTGCCTCATTCCGCTTGGGGAGACCTGTAGACCATGTACCTCTGGAGATGAAAGGAATCAATAGGGTGGAAATTGGTAGCAAAAGAGAGAACCAGTCTTGTTCTCCCACCTCCGTCCCATGATCCATTTGATGGGAGACTATGCCAGCACACAGAAGGCCTGAGACTCCAAACCTGGGACCCTGCTGGGCCTCCAAAGGTACTCACCGAGGGGCATCGGAATAGGCACTGGGGTCCATAGGGTCCAATTCTTCATCCTTCCGGCTGGCTATGGAGAGAGTAAAGATGCTAGCACCCACTTTGATATCACCATTTGTGACATGTTACTGATGGAAAGGGCCCTTGAGGGACCACCTAGTCCAACCCCCTCATTTCGAACAGGGGGAAACCAAGGCCCAAAAAAGAGAGAGCCACTCCTGCAAAATTCTGCCACGCCTCAATAGCATGACATTCCACATTCTAATTTGCTCTCCCAGTTCCCTTCTCTGACTGTTCCGCAGGGTGGGCATGGGCGTGTTCATGTTCTAGAACCTGCTAAATGAAACGCGGATGTCCTCGGCTGTCTCAAATGAATTTCCCTTGTTCTGTTTAGGACAGTGAACCAAGTGTTAAGTTTTTACCATATGCTTTTAAGGAGCTTCCACTCTGTTCATAGATAGAAGTTGTGAAACTCAGCAACTTGAGAGGCTGGCGGTAGTCTCTTCCTATCTCTGAATATAGCAGCTCCTGCTGGTGGTTTCAGTCATCTCTGTGCAGATGACTCCCAAATCTACAAACCCAGAATCACTCCCTGAGCCTTAGGCCTGCACCTCCAATTGCTTGCAGGACATTCCCACCTCAAAATGGCCAAGAGGGAACCTCCTCAGACCTGGCCTGTCAACGGCAGCCTTCTAAGTACAGGAGGCAGCCTCCTCTACCTTCTTTCACACATGCAGTCAGCTTCCCAGTCTCTGCCCTATTTCCTACTTAGCACAACCACCCTACTTCAGATTGCCTCTCGACTAGTCTATTGTAATAGATTCCTAATTGACAGCCTGGTTTCCCAGACTCCTCCCTCTAATCCTTTTTTCATTAAAATAATTTTCCTAAGGTTCATGTTTAACCATGTCATTTTCCTTTCTCAGAAATCTTCTGGGCTCTTATTAGCTCTAGAATGAACCCAATTCCTCAGCCTGGCCTTAAAGGTCCTCCACTATGTGCCTCATAGAACCCCACATTCTTTTTTGTAGACTATGTTCCTTAAATTGTGGTTCCATTCCTTCGCAGAGGCTATTTTCCCTGAGCCTGGAATGCCCTCCCCTGCTTACTCCTGCCTCTCGGCCTGCTTCTGTGGCTTGGCTCCTGTGCTATCTTCTCTGTGAAATTATTGTCCGGCAGCAGGTGTTAAAACGCTCCCTCGACCTTTCTCTGGTAATTGTCTCTGTGTCCTATCATCACAGTGTCATCACAAGCAACTTTCCACGTCCAAAGCCTGGCACAACAAGCCCAGTAAACGCCAGCTTAATCTAAGAAAGCCAGGTGGCACAAGAACAGGGCTGAGTGAATACATACCAAGCCCTAGTGTTGGGGACCTGGGGAGGGTTCTGTCCACTGGCTGCACTCACACTGCCACCTACCTTTCTTGCCTTTGGGGTAGGGGGCCAACTCTTCCCTTCGGTGGTAACGTCGTTCCTTCATCTCCTCCCTTTCCAGCTTTTCATAGCCACGGTCCAGTTTATCTTCTGGCTCTAAGGCATAGAAGCCAGGTAAAGCAGAGAATCAGAAACAAGAAGGGGAAGGGGAAAGGGAGGGGCTTCTCCAAAAGAGCAAACATTCTCTCCATGACTTGACTTTACAGAATGACCAAACACTGGGCCCAGGGAGGGGCAAGGCACTTACCCAAGTTGCTTCTGAGTTTCTTGGCTGCCTTGGTGATGACAGAGCTGGGATCATGGGGGTTCAGCCAGGACACAAGGTCTGTCTCCACATTCCAATAGTAAGGAAGACCACTGAGAGATTGGACAAGAGAGCCTTGAAGGTGAGGCCTGGGGATCCGGGGGCACACTCCCCAAAGGCCCTTGCAAGGGCCCCCCACCCAACTGCCCGGGAAGCAAGCCCCTACGGACGCTGCCTCTGTCTCGCGGTAGGCAGGGCTCACCAGACTGGGTCGAACACCTTGTACCAGTTGGGCGGCAGGCCCTCGATCCTGGTGCCCTCGTAGTCCACGGGGTCATCGTCATAGTCCTCGGCGATAATCTCTTCCTCTGGCTCTGCAGGGAGCCGGTTGGAGGTCAGGGCGGGGGCTGCCGGTGCCCTCTGCCCCCCAACCCCTCCCCGCCGCGGGCCGCCGCCTCACCGGGCTCCATGTGTTTAAGGATGCCGCGCTTGGCCAGACGGGATTGCAGGGCCACGGGGAGCGGCATGGCGAGACCTTTCGACCGGCGTTCGCTCGTTCGTTCGTTCGTTCGGGGCGATCCCGAGGGGGGGCGGAATTCGGAGGAATAGGGCTGGCGCAGAGTGGCAGGCGCTTCTTGTCAACGTTCTAAGAGGAAAGCCACCGGGCCCGGCCGCCGCGGTGACGTCACTTCCCTCTGGCGGGCTTTTCCCCACCCCCACCCCGGCTTACGGGGCTGCCAGCAGCGGACCTTCCAGATCTGGCCCAGCCAGCCCCTCGCCCTACCAGTTGTGCGCATGTGCGCGCGCTTGTCAGCCAATGACCAGCAGCGGTTAACCCCCCCCTTTTTTTTTCTCTTCAATTCTGGGAGGTTTCTTCATCCCCCTCCCCGTAGGACTCGGCCTTCCTTTGGCGCTCTCATCACGTGTCACTTACGACTGGCAGGCAGCCTGTGAGAGCGCGCGCAAAACACTTCTTTCTTCTCTAGTTCCGAGGTCGACCTATGAGTGAATACAAAGAGGAATATTGGGGAGGGGCCAAGGGAAGAAACAGCCAATAAACGCGCGTAACAGTTTCCCCGGCAATCTTTCGGTACACAGGGGAGGTGGTAGATTGCGCAAGCGTCCGGCGACTGCAGCGTCCCTTCTCTAGGTCCTGGGGGTGGAGTTCAGAAAGAGGCGGGAAGGGGGGGAGGAGTCGTAGAGAGGGGCGGCTTGAGAGGCTTCAAGGTGGGACGGTCGCCTTTGGAGTGGGTATCCCGGATCCTGACCGAAGCTCTTGAGCTAAGGAGTTATGGAGGAGTACGCACGTGAGCCCTGGTACGGGGTAGGGTTAGGGCGAAGGGGAGACGGGGACCGACGCTTGAACCCCTGAGAGAGGGAATTTGGCCTACCATCGCCCCACCCCCCCGCCACCCACACACTTGGTCTCTGCCAGGCTTGGTCCTAGCTCGCTGTAGACTTTTCCATTACAGGTGGGTAGGGGGAGGTATCGTGGCTGCCCCGCGTCTGGATGCTAGGTCTCTCCTGCTCCCCCACGACTGCGATGGATGATTCTACTGGGGGGGGGAAGGGGGACAGGAGTGACGGCTAGGTAGCTGCCAGCCCTCCTGCCGGCCTGTCTGCCCTCTGACAGCTTCTGGTCATCAGGCCGGACCGGGCTGACCCCGAGGGCGGGGCAGCAGGGGGTGGGGGGGTGGGAGGGTGTCCCTCCTTGCCCTGCCCCCGCGCCCCCTCCCCACTGCTGGAGATGCTCCCAGGTGCCTACAGGGTTGGGAGCGAGGGGAGAGGGGGACCCTTCCAGCATACCTCTGAGCAGTCTCAACCCCCCCCCCCCCGCACCTGCCTCTGCAGCCCCTGGAGGATTGTGGACGACTGCGGTGGAGCCTTCACCATGGGAGTCATCGGAGGAGGCGTTTTCCAGGCTATCAAGGGCTTCCGAAATGCCCCAGTAGTGAGTCCCCTAGACTTGGGTTTCCCCCTTTCCTGTGAAGTGCCTGTGAGTTGGGAGGGAAGGCCAGCAAACAACGTCAAAGGGCCCGTCTACCATGACATCCTGTCTGTCCTTTCTTCTGTCTGCCAAAACAGAAGGGGAGCTTGATGGGGCCTGCTCAGCCTTGCCCTTGCTCGCTTGCCTGCCCTCCATTTCTCTCCTCTCCTTGGTCCTCCCCAGGGCATCAGGCACCGCTTCCGGGGGAGTGTCAGTGCAGTGAGAATCCGGGCCCCTCAGATTGGAGGTAAGGAATCTGGAGGGGAGGCAGCAGCTAGCTGCTGGCAGAACAGGCTGGACATGCCCAAAGTGGGAGGCACATGGCTGCTGCTTGGGGAGAGGTGGCCTTGGCCAGGCAGATCCTCAGTTACCAGGTCAGGCTTGGGGCTTCCGAGTGGCAGCCCCGCCATGGCCTTACCGCCTGGACTCCTTTTCCAGGTAGCTTTGCTGTCTGGGGTGGCCTGTTTTCTACCATTGATTGTGGGCTCGTCCGACTCCGAGGGAAGGAGGACCCGTGGAATTCCATCACTAGTGGGGCCCTCACGGGTGCTGTGCTGGCAGCTCGCAGTGAGTGACTTGTGAACCGACCTCTCTATCCCTACCCCCAGCCCTTCGTTATCCCTTTACCCCATTACTGTGGGAAGCAGGGCAGGAGGTTCCCTGAAGGCCCTGCGGGCATCAGGCCACTTACATCTCACCTTTCTGTTGCCCAGGTGGACCTCTGGCCATGGTTGGATCAGCCATGATGGGAGGGATCCTGCTGGCCCTGATCGAAGGTGTGGGCATCCTCCTCACCCGCTACACAGCTCAGCAGTTCCGGAACAGTGAGTCACTCTCTTGAGACATGCTTGAGGGGGCCTCATGCCACCCCCTTCATTCTCCTTCCTCTATTTGCTTGGGTTCCTCTGCCATTGTCTTTTATCTAACCACCTTCCTGAAGTCTCTCTTCTGTTTCTCCTGGGTCCACTCTTTCTTGTTCTTTTTTCACTCCCTCCTACCCGCCTCTGTCTCCCTCGTTTCTCTTCCTTTGGTCCTACCCATCTTCACCTTCTTTTGTCCTTGTCCTCCATTTTCTGTCTCCTGGATTTCTCTTCACTCTTTCCCTTTTCCTAGGCCTTATCTCTACCATTCTCCCCTCTTTTCTCTTGTCTCTTTTTCCAGCACCCCCCTTCATAGAAGATCCTGGACAGCTGCCCCCCAAGGAAGGTTCTGCCCCGCCCCCCAGTTACCCAGGCTACGGACAGTACCAGTGAAGCCACCAGGCCGTGGGGGGCGGGAGAGGGAGAACATGGGGAGAACAGGGGGACACTTGAATCCTTGAGTGTTGGGGGCAATGAACTGGACTCCGACTCTTTTTCACTACCTCTCTGAGCTGGTGCTTCAGGGCAGGGGAGCCCTCAATGTCCCCTCCTGGCTTTGCTCCAGAGAGTGGGGCTGGCTAGGCAGGGGTTCACATCATCTCAGGGAGTGTGAATGCCATTCCTAGAGATGAGGGTTGGATTGGAGGGCCAGATTGACTATTCAGTGCTGCCACAGAGGGGGCCCCTTCTACTTTCCCAAGAAATGAATTCATTGAGACCAAGTCATTGTTGGCTCCCAGCTCATATATAGCCCCCCCCCGCCGCCTCCAATTCCACAGACCCCTACCCCCACAAAGAAAAAAAAAATCTGGTCTTTTCTCCTTTCCAATTTTTCTTCATCATATTTCTCCCTCTTTATTTAAAGCTGGTTCTGAAACCTATGTGTGTCTTTTTTTCTGTCACTGCGGCCTAAAGATAGAGTCACATCTTGTTGGTGAATCCCTTTGGGGGGGAAAGGGAGGGAAGCCATTACTGGACTCTTGGAAGATAAGGATGCCTTGGACAGTCCCTGCTTGGAGCTGGCAGCCTTAGTACCACGCCACCTACTTCCTGTGCCAGAGTCAGGAGAAAATGCCATTTAAGTGATTTTGGATTAGGGTTATTGTCCCATGAGCTGAGAGTTTCCCTCTTGAGCCAAAGTGGAGTGAACTCTCTCTGAGCCCCCTTGGGGTGAACTCTCTCCGAACAATGGCTCCCACCCTACTATGGCCTCTGGAAACTTAAGCTCACAGAACTCTGTCACCCGGACTTCAGTAGCCCTTTGGGGGTGCAGAAAGTAATCGTTTGAGAGGGCTGATGACACCGATGAGGCTACATACGGAATTTAAGAGCTTGAGGCAAAAGTAGCTTTGGAGCAAGCAAGAAGGCCTGGGTTCCAATCCGCCACGGCTTAATACCTTTGTAACCTGGAGTTGATTCTTTTCCTCACTGGCTTTATTTACTTTCCTCCTGCCAAACAAGGTTGGTAGACTTCCTCATCTCTAATGTTCCCGCCAGCTCTGTGATCCTGTCTCTTACCCTTTCTGGTCCATGGTTTTTATTGTTTCTTAAACACCAGTAGCACCCATAAGCCATTAGCTAAATTGAGCCCAAGAGCAGAGAATTTCATCAGAGAACGGTGACGACATACCAGAGCTTAGGAGACAGCTGTTCTGGGCTGGGCTTGACTTAGGCCAGTTCCCTGATAGTTTGGGTTTGACACTAAAAAAAAAGCCATCTAGGTGGACAGTTAACAGAGGGCGAACTGACTTGGTGGAGCTGAGTGAAGCTTCCTTGCCTGTTTTACACATTGTGACCCTCCTCAGGGTTGCTTTGTATTTGAGGAATGAGGAAATATGATGGCAACCGGCTCAGCTTTTGGACCCCTTGGCTAACCAGGGCTAGAGGAATGTCTTCGTACCTTTTGAGGGAAAAGTTTTTTGGCAAAGATACTGAAGTGGTTTGCCATTTTCTTTCCCTCAAGCATGGGGGGAGGGGCTGGGATGTTACTCCTGCCCCCTCCCCTCATGGGGGTGAGGTCCTTAAGGTCTTCCAGATGAACGGTGTTCAACTCAAATAGAAGTGGGGTCACTTAGCACACTTAGAAAACCACATGTTAACATCTGTGTTGGATTTTGATGGATTTGTTGCACGTTGCCCCGTGACATTTCAATCCGATTTGGGCCCGACTTGTGAGTGGATTGCAGGCCACCTGTTTAACGCCTCTGTCGGAGGGGACCTTCTAGCACCTTAAATGATTTGGGGGCAGCCCTGGCCTCAGATATTCCAGAAGCCTGACCCAGGCAGCACCTGAAAGAGGAACAAATCGGAGAGAGTCGCAGGGAGGGTTGAGGCCTGGGTTTTAGACTCGTGGGTTAGGTGGTGGCAGTTCAGAGTGGGTCTGTCTCCGTGTCAGCAGGGTGACCCTGAGCAGCAGCACAGAGGACGGTTCCAGACTGCTGCCCCCTTCGTTTTCCTTGGTGGGTCTGGGGAGGTGCACTACCAAATCTTTGCCTAATGAGAGGCCTTCCATAGGGGCTGCTCAGATGCTTTCACCTCCTCCCTGTTGCCGCCCCTTGGTCTCCTCCAGGACTTGCTGGTAGTAATGGGGAAGGGCCAGGCAGTTTTACAAGACGGTAAACAGTGAGCTTCCACAGGCCAGCCTTTGGCCATTCCATTTTCCAGGGCTCCCTTTTCTCCAACTGGCCTCCTAGGAGCTGGCATCTCTGCCTCCTCCTCTTCCTCTTCATCCAGCACCGTTGAAGCCCAGATTTGTACCTGCTTTGCCAGAGTCTATTGCCACCCCCTGTGCCAGGGCAGAAGGACTTGAGCTCTTGTGGCCTTTAATGGGCCTGAGCGCTGTCATGCTGCCACCCGCCATGGCCTGAGTCGGCCCTGCTAGGCACAATGCCTCAGTAGGAGTGCTTCAGGGCCTGAGCCTGTCCCACTATGCTGGAGCAAGGACACTATTTGTATTTCTGTGCACCAAGTCTGTGCAGGTATTTAAAAAACGTCCCAAAAGCCATTGTGCAGTTCAGGTAGCTATATGTGGATGGCCGAGAGAGAAGGGTGAATAAGGAAGTATGTGCTGAGCACCGTGCTAAGTCCTAGGGAGTACTGGGGTGGAGAAGTCTGGGAGGGAGTTAAGCCGGAGCTGAAGTGGTCTTGTTTGGATGGTGGGAGTCCCTCCTCAAATGGGATCCCAGCTTGGGTGGCAGCCTAGGACAAGAGGCATCTCAAGGAGGGCAAGCCTGAAGGTGACGAGGCTAAGGCTATGGAGCAGAAGGTAAAGAATGTTCATGACGTAGTGGACAATTTAGAAAAGGTGGAGATGATGCCAAAATCAAAAAAGGATTAGGGTTAGACGTGCAGCAAACCCAAGATACAGTACAAGTGATTGACCTCAATACAGGACATGGTGCAGCCAGCCCAAAGCCAGAAGATCGTGCAAGCAAGCATGCAAGCAGATTAGCTAGAGGATGCCTTGGCATGCCAGTGCCTTGTTCCAGGCAGCTAAGAAGAGGCCCTTCACAGGTCAAAGGAGAACAATGAATCGCACTCGACCTTGATTGTAAGAAATGAAAAACAAAGCAGAGGCATGGATTTTATAAGACTGAGTACAAGTCCAAAGAGACGCAGCAATTCAAAGCCAACTTGAGCCTCCCCACCCCCTTTCTCACCACTTTCCTCCATTCTGGCATCAAGGAGAGAGTGCCTCCACCCCCATGGGCTTGGGGACTGGGATTACACTCAATTACCCAAAGGGTCTGTGACACCAAAAACCTACAGTAGGCACAGTGGACAGGGAGACTTTGGGCCTTTCTGTTCAGAATTGTGCATTTTTGAGATGGGTCAGCAGTCCCAGTCCAGGGTGTGCTGGCATCCTTTGCATCTACATTTCTGACATTTTCTCCATCATTTTTCTTAAGTCTAGACAATCAACAAAATAGTCAAGCCTAGATGTGTTTTTCCTGCTCAGTCCTGTCCCATTTGGGGTTTTCTTGGCAAAGATGCTGGCGTGGTTTGCCCTTTCCTTCTCCAGCTCATTGTACAGATGAGGAAACTGAGGCCAACAGGGGGAAGTGACTTGGCCAGGGCCACACAGCTAGCAAGTGTCTGAGGCCAGATTGGAACTCAGGAAGGTGAGTCTTCCTGATTCTAGGCCCAGCACTCTAGCCACTGCAGCGCCACCTAGCTGCCCCAAATGCCCTGATTTGTAGTATTTGCTGATTTCTGAGGAGTAAATGAATAATCACACTGAGCATTTAATGATGGGGTACTCAGTCTGAGCTGGCTCCAGCACACTCATAGCCTTAACCCAGTTTCTTCATTGATGGACGTACACGGTCCCCATGGAAGGGCAAAATGAGAGACTTCCCAACCAGGAAATGGAGCCTATGGGGCTGCGGAAGGGCCCCAGGGCAGAAGGTGGTGGTGGTGGTTAGGCTAGGAGAGAGGGGAGATGGGAAAAGGTAAAAAGGAGCAAAGGAGCTTCCAAGTGCTTTGCTGTCCAGTGCCCCATATGATTCTTAACAATAAGAATCCCTGGCATGCTTTTGTGGGGGGTCTTAACCTTTTTTTTTTTAAATTAAATTGTATTTTCAAACAAACAGCCTTCTCTCCCTCCTAATTTCCTTTCCCTACCTCCCATCAAGAAAGCAAGAATTTCTTACCAGCCAGGCCTAAAAACAGTATGGCTCAGTTCATGCTTGGAGTCCTTCAGTTTGGGCAGGAGACAGCAGCAGGCATTATCTGAGTCCTCTGGAATCCTAGTTGCTCATTCTATTGATCACAGTTCCCCAACTTTTTTAAAAAGCGGCTTTAATAGGCCACGGTCTGCCTTCTCATCCTCCCATTTCAACTCTCCTGGCCTGAGAACACAGATAAGCCAAACCAACTATGTGTCCAAAAAAGATTTGTCTCAGTGTGTATTTGGTGTCCTTCCCTTCTGGGAGCAGGTTTCATCCTGAGTCCTCTAGAACCATGGCTGGTCATTACGCTGAGAAGAGTTCAGCACAATCATATTCCATCACAATTTGAGGTGTATGGGATGTTCAGGAGAACAAGCCCCTGTGCTGGGCAGGCTGCTGAGCCCTTTTCTGGGATGCTCATCCACATTTAGTGTCTACCCATCCCAACTCTCAGCTGTGACTCCAAGAAGCTGGAGCACATGCAGTATCCACACCCTGGTAAAACCATTTTGGCAAGAAGGGCTAAACCAGTTTGAGTGAAGGTAACTGATAAGTGGTGACTTAGGGAGCAGGGGGAGAGATGTGAAGACTTTCCCTGGTAGAATGAGTGGATGCGAACAATTTGCCAGCAGTCCATGAAGGCAGCTAAAGCAGGTGCTGTGGAACGCTTAGGATTTGGTTAGACATCCAAGAAGACAAGACCCTCCACTGCAGCCTGGACCATCGCCGGTCATCCCGACTTGTTGTCTTGACACTGGACTCTGAAGACTCTGGAAAAGAGTGAGGCCACCAACTCTGCACAACTCTGCCTCACTGAAATCACGTATGTGCCTGTCGAGAGACATCATCCATCCCATTTTACAGGCAAGTGATGAAGCAGCAGGTGCGGACACACTGGGAGCTGTAATCACAATCCTACCAACAGGCATTGCTCACCTCCTGGTGTGAGGAAGGGGCTAGAAAAGGTGCCCTAAAAATGGCTTGCTTCATCTAACCATTCTCAGTCCCCAAAGGAGTGAAGCAAGATGCCCTCAATGAGGACGAAAACGGCATCAAGGTCAGCTACTGCACTGATGGTAAATGGTGTAATGCCTCTTCTCTCCCATACTTTCCTTCCAAGCATCCCAAACACTGAGCTAGCTCTGGCAACGCATTCGTCAAAAACGAAGGACAACAAATTAACTTAAGAAGGCTATAAGCCGAGACTAAAG